ACTTCATAATTAAAAGCTAAAATGTTAAAATATTTAATTGATAGAAACTATTTTTTGGAATGAGTCTTAACTCATATTTTTGTAATTTATGCCTTAATTGGGCATACCAAGTACTTTAAAGTAACATTCTCATAACATTGATAGGGAGCAAATCCACGTTTCTTCGAAAATATTAAAGCCTCTTCTTTAGAGGTATATGGAAAGAACATATTAAAGATATAAGTAATGCTTAAGGATAGTAGCACAAAGTAAATTTCTATTCAACTTTATAAAACCAAATAGATGCTTCGATCTCCGAAGGATATTTATTACTCACCAGGCTTAGTTTGAAAATGTGTTTCGTTTTTTAGTACCAGGTATTCCTTTCCTTCCTCAACGTGTCCTGCTTCCGCCTAGGCTCCAGAGAATTCTTGTCCGCTTGAAAATAAAATCTAAACAATTTACAACCGTCAGTTGCGCAAGAGTTTTTTACAGGACTCCACTCTCTGGGACATTGGTTCTCCCCAGGGAGCCTAGATTGATGACAAGATTTGTTGTGACAAGCATTAACTAGCGGTTTCACACACTAAAACCCCCCTCCCTTGCTTTTCATACCAATTAGCAGCGAGGGACGAGAGTTCCCCTCCAGAAAAACGGAAACAAATTGTTGACACCTAAAAACAGAACAGTTTCTCGGGGTATATTTTGGGCGATCGGCGGGGTAAGAGCGGTCCTTGGCCTATGGGGAAATATTAATACAAATAATTAATTGTGTTAAATAAACAATTTTCGTACTAAACGATGGGAGAACATCGGGTAAGTGCAGCTATATAGCTTTACTTCCCACAGGTTTTGTGTTTCCCGCACTCCAAAAATTGCCTTCGGTGTAATTTAACTCGGGTGCCCTGCGGAGAACGGAGGAGCGTTCTTTCCCTGGCTTGCCGGCCATGTTTGAATTCGAGTCGCCAACATGTTTACATAAAACAGACTAGGTTTTCAATTTTATATTTTATATTCACATAATTCTGATTCTGCTGATTAGCCCAAAAAAAGAGAACGCTGTAAGGAATGTCGTAATCGGAGTGTCCTAATCCTCCGCATAAGGTCTGTAACTGACAATCTGGCGGGCCACAATGTTGAGTATCTCGCGGGCGGCCATATCCTGTCGTTCATCGACAATAGCCGTAATCCTGGCGCACTCCTTCACGTAGTTCTCCAGTTCCCGCTGGTTGAGGGCCCTCCTCTGGGGTTCCTTGGCCTGCAGAGCCTGCAGAACCTGGCCGGTCATGTGGGCCAGTTGGGATCGAGCTCCGCTAAAGGTCTCGTCGAGATCGTACAGTTCCAGCGGCGGAGCGGGAGGCTCGCTGAAGATGGGCGGAAATGTGGCTAACTGGAGGTTGGGCAGCGGAATCTCGAACTGCGGCTTGATGATCCTCAGTGGCTCATACTTCACGTGCAGTTGCTCGTAGGCATCGATGACCTCCTTGAGCAGGTGGTTGCTCAGGGTACAGAGCTTCATGTCGAACATCTGCTTGAAGTCCGTGGGCATCTCGGTGCCAATGGAGTCGATAAGACAGGCCTTGGGCATATCGGCCAGAAACGCCAGATCGGTGAAGTGCTTATTGTCGCTGAGCTGAAGAAGACAAGATGATAAGGTTTAAACTTAAATGCAACAATTTAATGTTGCATATCATTAAATATCTATGTTTAAATTGATAATTTAAAGTTAAAATTGTGTAAAAAGTAATTCGTGACAACCATTTTACCCACCTCCACATCATTAAAATCCAAATGACTATAGCTTATCTCGTCTCCTCCGAGGAGTTTGAGCAAATACTCAAATATGGCATCGTTTGTTTTGTCCTGAAGATATTTATCATGCCAAATGTAGCCAGATCCCAACGCTAGAATCTTTCCACCTTTTCCGTTAGTAAAATAGCCTGCCAAGGGGCGATTGAAGGGATACACTACTGGGCCCGTAGTTAAGAGGACGTTCGCCGGCTCAGATACATTCAGAGTGGCACCATAAGGATATTGAAAGTGTATTTTGTACTTCTCGTCACTGAAATCGTAGTCCACTTTCTCAATGTCCAACTTGAGGAGGTGTCGCCACATAGATTCGCAGACAACGCCGCCACCCACGATGCATTCCTTGGGATGGAAATTCCTGTAATAGTGCGGTCGCACCACATTGTCTCCGTTGATATAGATTCCGTACTGCTCCAGAAAGAAATTGACATTGGTATTGAACTCGGGCTCTCCTCCTTCGCCCAGGAGCACCAGCAAACTTCCTCCTTGCACCTCCACGTAGTGCTTCAGCACCTCGAACTCGTCCTCCGTAAAGCGATCCTGGGGTCCGGCGAGTACAAAAACTTTTACCCTGGCAAGTCGCTCCTTTCTGAGCTCTGCATCGTTTCTATGAAGATTACATATTGATAGAATATAAAGTTTCTCAATTTCTAGAAGCCTATGTGCCGGGTTACAGGGAATTGCACGTCAAATTGATGTTTACAATGTTCGTACATTTTATATAAGTCGATAATAATGAAATATTTTGATTATAAAATTATCAGATCTAAAAAGACCTGTATTCATAGAAAGCGGTTATTAGAACTTAAAATTTATTAGAACTTTGATATGTATTTTAAGGAACTCGATGATTGATATATTTTATATGTATTCTCAAAGTAAAATACAACTTTTCGGTTCGGTAGGCAAAAAGTACTGGGAAAAATAAAATTTTTAAAATCTGCTGGCATACTAACTGTTCCACAATCCAATTGACCTTCAGCTTCCGGTGCAGCATTTTGTAGTTATCTGATATTTGAAAGCGTTCATTTTTCGATGTATCAAAGCAGATAACCGGCTTATTCGACATTTTTATTGCCGTTTTCAACAAAGTTTTTATTTTTTGTTTATTTCTTTTGCTTATACCTTTGGTTACCCGGCAACGCGGTGGCGCCCTCTTGTGGGTCAGATGGCAGCGCCGCACTATCGATAGACCCAGTTGGAGATTTTGCAACACCTAATCCGGGCGGATTGTCGCGCACTGTCCTTAAGTCTAGCCCATCTGGCAACGCCGCCTCGCCGTGTGAAAAATTACGAAAGAATTTTTGGTTCACCCTCTGAGACCGAAATTTTTGCAAAACGAACAATGGCATCGATCTGTGGACGCATGGCGATCCGTGCCGCCGCACGCCAGAATGTTGCCTACACGCCCGTGCGCTTCTGCAAAAGTAAGTGGAGAAAAGCAGCAGGGAAATCCCACGGACAGCTGCTCCCCTTGTCACGTTCGCCAATTTGGCGGAGATTCTGGGCTGGATAATTGCATAATAATGACAAGCAAATGGTTAAACACCAAGTCACAGCACTACTTAGCCCCAGGAAACTGCAGTTTTGGGCCCCCCGAAAAGTGCCCATCGGAAAGTGCGAGGTTATGTAATAACTATGCGCAGGGAAATGTGTGACTTATGGCCGGAGAGAGGGGGAGCGGTGAAACAGCAACACGGAGTTAGCACTTCGATGGAAGCTGGCCGGGATTTCCCCACCCAAAGTGTCCCATAGCTAATGACGCCTCTGGGCTTGGGGCGTCTGCCGTTTATGTAACCAATGCGACCACTCGCTTATCAATTTATGAGCTAATCCATTCGATTCTAATGACTCCTTTTCTGCGTTGCAGTGATGAACGATCCTCTGGAGCACGCCACTGGTATCGAGAAGCGCGAGCTGCTGCTCAAGGCCGCCGGCAACGATAATCCCTTCGACATGAAGGTCTTCAAGCGGGGCGCCGGCACCAAGGAGAACCCCAACCTGATTCCATCGGCCTTCGATGCCCGCATTGTGGGTTGCATCTGTGAGTAGACCCAGGACACCTATCGCGGTCAGGATAGTAGCACAAAAGATATGCCAAATACCAGTTTATTAGTTATACGGATTTGTTTTGGTTCCCTACCATCTCTACCCTATCTTTCGTACCTTAACGCGAATCTTAACATTTACTAAATTATCAACATAACAACATAAACTTGAGCTTGGAACAGTATTCTGAGTTATATCATCTTAAATTTTTGAAAAATGATTTAATAATCAATTTTTGAACAAATATTTACTTTAAAATTCGAGGTGTTATTGAACATTTAACAATAACTGTAATGTGTTTAGTGTTTCTATTAATAACGCTCGGTTCTATTTTATAATCATTTTACCATTCCGCTTAATTTAATTTTTGTGTACTACGGTTATTAAACTAAAAAGTTTGATTTGCTTTAAATTTTGAAAGCCTGCTTGAAGCTGAAATATTTTTACAACTGAGTTCGGTTGAAAAACCTTTGAACTCTTAGTGCTATCATCCAGACCAAGAGTAGATCACTCAAGTAGAGTACTTTCTAACTCCATTTTCTTTATTTCTCCTTAGGCGAAGAGGATCAGACCTACGTGCAATGGATGTGGCTGCAGAAGGGCAACCAGAAGCGTTGTGAGTGCGGCCACTGGTTCAAGCTGGTGGAGAAGGCAGCTGTTTAAAGTTATTATTAATTAATTCAATAAACAAATTAATAACAAAACCACAACAACTACTAAGCTAAAAGTCAACCAATTTAGCTGTCCAAATAAACAAACATCAACCCAAAAATTCGAAACAGTGAACCTAGGAAAGAAAACGGGCGGCAAGCTTCCATTTTCAGTTCTCCATTCTTATTTTCCGCTGCAATTGATGGCAGATGCTTAATTATACACGACATGCGAACAATAAAGGTTAACAAGTGATTTCGAGCGAAAATTTAAGGATTTCTTTTGGCAGGACCTTATGTTGTAGGATGTCGAAAAAAATAATTGGAATGAAATAAAAAAATGTATTTTTAATTTTCACTTCCAAGTTTAAAATTTCTAAGGTGTCAGTAGGCGCCACAACCAAAAATCAAACATTTTCAGGACCCCGGGCACAGTTTCAATCCATTTCTCTTACCTAGAGGTAAGATTATCTCTCGCGACTTCCGTATATTTCGACTTAAGCTGCATTAAAGATGTCGTCGTACATTTCGCGTCTACTCAAGGCACCGTCCGCCTCTAAGCGCCTTATCTCGAATTTGACCCAGCGCGAGGGTAAGCTAAACTCCTTGCTGCGTCGTCTGGGATTGCAACGGCAGGGGGGAGCAGCGGCTGCTCCCGGAACGCGTCCCATATCCACAACTCAGGTGCAGAAGTCTGGTAAGTGGCGAGTAGATCCATCAAAAATGCAAAATGTAGTTCACATGCCCAATTAGCACTGATTGAGGACGAACAACTGGTCACCGGAATCCAGAAGCGCGAGATGCAGCTGGCGAAGCAAGGCTGCGAGGATCCCTGGGGATTCACCAAGGTCATTAGGCGTGGCTCGGGGAGGGAGAACGATCCAACAGAGATACCATCGGCATTCGATGCCCGCCTCGTGGGCTGCTTGTGCCTGGACGATCGCTTGCCCAAGTGGATGTGGCTCGAGAAGGACGAGGGCCCAAAGCGATGCGAGTGCGGCCACTTTTTCGTGCTAAAGAACGTACCACCCGTCTAGATCGATTAAACAGAGCGCTGTACAAGTACACGGACACACTAGACATGGTCTTCGCCGGGCATTAAACACTGCATGATATTATCAAAATAAAGGCTTACATGTATTTGGCATTTGCACAACAACTATCTTAGCGTATAGCCCGTCAAAAGGTAGCCACTATTTCCGCTCATATTAACTTCCGGGTGAGTGCGATTGGGCAGGATCTGGTAGGTACGCAGCCAGTTGGATGTCAGGTGCAGACCAGTTACCTTGCCGGAGGTCTTCAACTCCATATACGTCTCCTGCAGTAGCTCCTTGCAGGTGCTGAACACCACCACGGGTCTGGATGGCTTGACAAGGGGCAGCAGGGCCTGCAGGATGCTGGACGGGTGCTCCTTGGCGGCCACCACAAGGCTATCGAATTCGGCATGCATTAGAGCCGTGGCCCGTTTGTTCTCCAAGTGCCAGCGGGGAGGTCCTTTGGAACCTAAAAGAAAAAGGGGATTGTGTTATTAGGGGCTCAATAACCATTACAATCATAGATACCTTCTCTACCACTTTGAGCCTCATCCAACTTGGGTTTCTTAGTTATAGGTTCGATAGTTTCCGATTGTTCCTCAGTTGGCGTTTCCGGCTGGCTTTTCTCGGGATCTACTTTACTGGGCTCCTCGAGCGGTAGAGTAGTAGCCTTCGCCTCACCTCCTTGATAGAACTCTCTCAAAACGGAATACAGATTAACGGACACGCAACGCTGTTGCTGCTCCAGGGGCAGTTTCAGAGCAAGCAGAGCCTGCTTCTGGGGCACATTTCCCGGATGCATGTGCACCAGGGTGCCCTCGGTGCCTGCTCCTATGGAATTAAGCATGGCCGCCGGCAGAAGACCATTTGTGCCACTCTCGTAGAGCAGGTAGCTGCCAAAGCCGCAAACGCCCGAGTAGGAAATGATCTGGGACAATGTGTCCACTCGAATGCCCATGACCTTCTCCGCATCCTGGCGGTAGAAGATGTCCAGCATCAGCCGGATCGTCGGCGGGCGAATCTGGACGAACTCAAAGTACTTCTTCTCCTTCTTTCGCAGGTACTTTTCCTGTGAGTACTCGGTGCGGTTGTGGAAGGTCTTTGAGTTCTCCACCAGCTTCTCGATGATCTTGCTGGAGTCGTTACACTCCTCACGCAGCTGGGCGATGTCCTCCGGCTTCAGGGTCTGCGCTTCCCCGTCGTCGCAGATGTCCCGGTTGTCCGCCCCACTGCTGGAGATTCCCAGGACTTCCCGCGTGCTTCTCAACTCCGTTTCGCTGCACAGCTCCAGGGAGTGCTGGCGCTGGGCTCCCCTCTTGCCCGGCTTCGTCTCCTTGACGCACATCTTGAACGTGGACCCGTAGGGCTGGTCCAAGAGGGACTTCAGCTCCAGTGTCTCCTTGCCCAAAGTGGCTGTGGTGTCCAGGCTGCCGAATTTCTGCAGCTTCGTGTACTTCTGGCGCTGGATGACGATGTAGTCGCCCAGTTGGATCCTAGGGGTGGCCGTGTCCGTGGCCATGGCTGCTTCTCTATGTTATAGTTCTTATAAACAACGTGTTTAAAATAGGGATGCAAAAACATCGATGTCACTATCGATACTATCGATGTTTTTTAAAACAGCGATGTATCGATGCTTTTTTTCGAACATCGATGTTATCACTAAGAGATACACACGCAAAGCAAGTGGTACGTAAATTGGGAAAAAGTGCACATTTTTCCATTTTATTAAGTATTGTTACAGTTTGATACAGGTAAAACATATTAGGGCGGTTCCTCTCGGCACAATGGACAGGTTTCTGCACATAACAAGTAAGTTCCAGTCGCAGCAGTTGTTATTTCATAATTTTAACACTGTCTACTGTCATCTACTGACTCGGAAAGGACTTTCAGCAAGGCAGGACAAATCGCGGACGAAAAGAGATCTCGACTTAAACCTAAAACTTTGAACATGCTGTTGTTTTTACAGAAAAACCAGTGGATTATTAGTTAAGATATAGATATCGATTAGATAAGTAAGATAAGTAAGAACTGAACTGAACTGAACTGAACTGAACTGAAGTGAACTGAACTGAAATAATGTGATTCCATTTTTCTTTATGATTTCGTTAAAATATGTATTAAGATTATGCTTTTTTATTTGTTTCTGAAAATATTGTTGTTGTTTTGTTTGAATAAATATAAGTTTATAATAAGTTTCATAAAAACAATATTTTAATTAATATTTGGAGGGTTTTATGGTATATATTCATAAATTGAAGAAAATTTCGATGTTTTTAGCGAAATTTCGAGGTTTTAGCAAAATTTCGATGTTTTCGCGAAATTTCGATGTTTTAGCGATATATCGATGCTTACAAACATCGATGTTGAAAACATCGATGTACTCACTATCGATGTTTTTGCATCCCTAGTTTAAAACAATTGAAAAGCCGGTGGTGAAAGAGGAGTGAGGTAAGAAGAGGAAGTTTGTTTAGTGCTGGAAAGCGTGCAAAGTCTAATAACATTGCCACCTGTTGCAGGTGTTCTACTTAAAAACTTTAAAGATTTTAATATTTTGAAATTATTATTGAAAACCAAATTAGTTCGAAAACTACAATTCGTTTTTGGCTAAGTTGTTTTTAGGTATATTTTATTTTCGGGAATAGTTTTCTGATCTGGCAGCCCTGATACCTGTTGAGCCAAATGTATTTAAATATTATTTAAAAATAAAGTGTGGCTCTTATTTGTTCTCAAAGCAACAAGCGGTTAAGTGTGTATTCATAAAACTCTATTATAGAAACAGCCATTTTATTAAAGTTCAGCTTCACAACAATAACACAGCAAATGAGCTTGCTTTTAATCTCAAATGCAAAGAAATCAATTTACGAACGGATTATTGCCAGCTAAAAATACCTATAAAAAGAACATTCAATGAGTAAAGTACTTTCTTTTGCGATAAGCTGTTATAGCTTCATCTTTATATGGTTGCTATGAATGTTTTAAACAAACATGGTCGTCGTAAAAGGCTAAAGAAAGGGAGCGTGATGGTTTGCCAAAAGAAAACAAATATTTTGTCTCGATTTATACCCATCAATTGAAATTAATTAAATGGATATCACAAAAGATAAAAAAAGACCTGCGAAGAGACAAATAAGCCATGTTTATTCAACTGTTTCAACTCCCGTCCCCATTGGCTGTTACGAAATAAACAGACTGCGCCCATGCCGTCGTCATCCCCTGAAATCGCGCGTCGCTACGCCCATAAATTAGAATTTCCAGCGAAGTGGCAACGCCGTCCGATCGAGTACAGCTGATACGACTCGGCGATAATCTCGAATGCGATAACGAGTACAAGAACGCGTGCCTTATGTGTAGTATATATATAACGCGTTAGTGCCTTGTGTGTACAACTATAACCTTTGATTCAATGCGATCTGTTCTGTAATCACAGTCCGCGCAGTCAGTTCTTCGGCCGCTGCAATCGGCTGCTCCACGTGACACCTAATCCCAGGCCAACCGCCCGCAAGGAGGATTATCCCGCAACGAAACTGGAGTGGAGTGGAGTGGTGGCTCAACTCAAGCTGAAAATCAAACCTTCCCGCCCTCCTACCGGTTTGGCTTCCCCCAGCGCAGAATAACTGACCGCGCAAGTTTTCGGGTTTCAAGCATACGCCCCAATAACTGCTGTCGCCCGCATAACCAGAACCAGAAAGAAATCCGAACCAGTACGGCACAGTAGTCGCGCAGCCATGGCGGAGGGTAAATCGGAGAAGTCGCCTTTTATTGGCAAGCAGCAGGTGCCGGTTACGCTGAATCCTTCGTGGGAGTCAAAGCTGCCGGCCCACGAGTCCAATGGCAAAGGATCCACGTCAGTGATTGGGAAACTGGGTCTGCCCGCCCCTAAGGACAAATACCTCATTGTGTTCTTCATCTTCCTGCTGCACGGCATGGGCACGCTTATGCCCTGGAACATGTTCATCACGGCAAAGTCCTATTTTGAGGACTTCAAATTCGGACCGAACAACACGGTGGCCACGGACGTCAACTACCGCACTCACTTCATGCAGAACATGGGCTTCGCCTCGCAAATTCCCAACCTGGTCTTCAACTGGCTGAACATTTTCGTCAACTTCGGCGGAGACTTGACCAGCCGCATCGTGTACAGCATTATCTTCGAAATGGTCATCCTGTTGGTGACCATTGTGCTGGCCATGTTGGACTCCTCCCAGTGGCCCGGTGTCTTCTTTTGGACCACCATGGTGTGCATTGTGCTGCTGAACGTGTGCAACGGCATCTACCAGAACACCATCTACGGAATTGTGGCCTCGCTGCCCATCAAATATACCGGTGCCGTCGTTCTGGGCTCCAACATCAGCGGATGCTTTACCACCGCCATGGCCCTGATTTGCGTCGAGATCTTTACATCCCAGAGGACGGCGGCCATCTACTACTTCGTCACAGCCATCCTTGTGCTGCTGCTCTGCTTCGACACCTACTTTGCGTTGCCGCTGAACAAGTTCTTCCGCCATTACGAGACCATCAGCCGGAGCAGCGAAAAGAAATCGGACTCCAAGCAGCAGCTCAACGTGCCCTACTGGCAGATCTTCAAGAAGGCCTCGCCGCAGCTCTTCAACATCTTCCTGACATTCTTCGTGACGTTGTCCGTGTTTCCGGCGATTCAGGCGAACGTGCACCGCTCGGAGGATTTCGTGATCGGACCGAGTCACTTTACGCTAATCACTTGCTTTGCGACCTTCAACGTGTTCGCCATGCTGGGCAGTTTGACCACATCCTGGGTCCAGTGGCCGGGACCGAGGTTCCTGTGGGTGCCGGTAGTGTTGCGCCTGGTGTTCATCCCCCTGTTCATCATGTGCAACTACGCTCCGCCGGGTGCGGTGCGCTCATTGACCGTGTTAATCGAGAACGATTGGGTCTACTGGGGAATGGGAATTGCGATGGCCTACACCTCCGGGTATCTCAGCTCTCTGGGCATGATGTACGCACCGCAGACGGTACATGCCAAGTACCAGACGACAGCCGGAATGTACGCAGCTGCCATGCTGATCACGGGCATATTCTCCGGGGTACTGTTCTCGTATCTGGGACCCCATTTCGTCATGTAGTATTTTTTGTTCGTATGACACTTACTAATATTTTACAATTATTTCATTGTTCATTTTTAACAACTTATCTGACCCACAAAATGCAGTTTTGGGCTCAAGACCAGTTTAGGGACCTCGCCAGTTGGTTTCGTTTTAACCAATCATTTTTGCACGTTTCATTTAATAAAGTTTTTCAAATAACATTTTATTACATAAACTGAATTTATACAAATATAATGGTACAAATTTAATCAACAATTTACCTCCTATCCATGGGAAAATTGTGCCGACAAAAGAGAAAAGGGAGCATGTAGAGTCTGACAATTGGGTCCTAATTGATGTACATATGTATATCAATTAGCCGGGGGTCTAACAGGTCAATGGAATATTTTGTTCGGTTTTATCACAGCTTCATTCGTTTGAATGAAATAATAAAGTTTATTCCACACTGGCACAGATATACACACGCTAAACTAAATAAACCTTTAATCAGTGCAGTTTTTGAGTGCACGCAAAACACAACGAAAAATTGAACTACCGGGCTAGATTTACACTCACCGGAACCGTGAATACACTTTTGATGAAATACAAAATACAATGGAATTTTAGTTTGCTTTTTCTAGGGATCTTGGGTTATTTCATTACCCTTTGCTTCTTATTAGGTTTTATTAAATACATTTACCATTCAAAATTAAACAGTATTTCGAAGAGAGCTGCCGGATACAAACAAAATTCTTTAGAAGAAAAATGTAGTCATTTATGACGGGGATACATTAACACATTTACGATAAACAAAAATATTCTAAATATGTTTGTAGAACGCAAAAACACGTTACTCAGAAACAATTTAATTCTCTTTTTGCGATATATGTATAAGTTAAAAAAGAGTTGGGCAAAGCAAATTATATTTACTAAGGAAAGCAATATTATATTTATGGTTACTACCCTATGCAAAGGAAAGTAAATTAGTTTGGTTAAGCTTTTAAAACTGATCAAATTATTCCAAATTGGCGCCGAAATCTCATTGGTAAACATAATAGACCCCAACAAACAGGCCTTATCTGCGTAGACACATAATTACACTAGGGAGCAGCTAGTAGCAGATAAACATATCAGTTCCACTTGTCACTTGGGTGACGTCTAGTACTTATTTATGTATTTACAAGGGCAAACATGGGGGGCAGGTCTGAGGAAGATCCCATGCTTTTTCAAGGTGATTTCTTATCTCCGTCCTGCGGATTCGACAAGAAATACATTATTTTTAGCAGTTCATTAAACTTTGGGGTGTCCCTCGGATGGCGTTTCTCAAGGCCTGCAATCTGCTCGAGGGCCACCTCCACATCCACTACATTGCACAATATCGATTGCAGGCGCTTGGGATACTTCCGCTCGGTTCGCTCTACCCGTTGTCGCGTCGACTCCAGCATGTTCAGCTGATCCTGGGGGCTAACCTTGTGGTAGCTAACGACCAGCGTTGTCAGGCGGGGCAGGCTATCGGCCAGCGGGAAGCCGTAGTCCTGGGCATCGGAAAGACCGAGGCGCTCCAGTCGTTTGCTGCCCTCCGTCTGTAGAATGGTCGCCTCCACGGGATGCCGGTTTGAGGTGAGGTCCAGGTGCTTCAGAGGGAGCTGTTCCAGCAGCTCTACCAGGTAGGACAGTTCCACAGAGCATTCGGGCGCCACCAGAGTCTCCAGATTGGTCAATCCAGTGATATGTTTCCCCGTAACGTAGGCACTGGAAACGCTCAGGCTGCGCAGCTGGCGACAGCTCTTGGCTATCGTGTGGATCATGCTGTTGTTCATGCTCTCGTCTGCGATGCAGAGCTCCCGGAGATTGCTGTAGTCCCGGCGCAGGTAGAAGGCCAACTCGGGTCTCATCAGATGGCGACCCAGGTACGAATCGAAGGCCTTCTTGTGCACATTCCAAATGTACAGCTCCTCCATCGCGGGGCTTGTCAGTTCAAAGAAATAGACGTAGTCCTCCTTGCTGAGGGGCTCCAGAATGGAGTCGGATACGGAAACCTTACGATAGCGCGGCTTACGCCACACAATCAGGCAGAGCAGCTCCTCGAACCGCGGCGCCAGTCGGGCCATCTTAATCTGCTCCACGAGGGGCAGAAACTCCAGTATGTTGCACACGCAATCATCGTTCAGTCTCTCCATGATAAATACTTAATGTTTGTGTAATTAAACTATTTAAAATTTATAATTACTATTTATTTTTTATAACAGCTAGCAGCTGTTCTGTAGTTTTAGTGGTGGCAATCAGATATTATCGAAATATCGATTATACCAATATCGAATATGAACTATTTTTTAAAAATAACCCGGGAAATACGAAATTCATATGGCAACTCTGTCTCTACATGTTAATTATAAATGTTCATCTTTTTATAGCCAGATTCCACTGAAACACATTTCTATTAATTTTACATAGGTGCTCCCATTAGAAAATAATAATTAAAAGTTTTTAGATCAAATTCACAAAAGGTTTATTTTAGTATAAAAGTATATAGAATTATATAAATTTTGTCAGGTATTAAAAATAAATTATTTAGCCGCTATCGACAAATTTGAGCAAATCAACAACTCTAGTTTTTTAAATTGATGAAAGTCAATTACATATGTCTTCTATTTTTAAAAAATTTTATTCTCCTTTCTAAATTTTTCAAATTGGAAGTGACGGAACATAATTATTTTAATGCAACTATATATTTTTCAAAGGATAATAATATGAGAAATCAGTTCGATAAAATCAATTTTCCCGCGATCCTTGCCTAGTTATCGCTTTTTTTCAAAAAGGTTTTAAAAACTTAAAAATAAGTTCACATATAATCAGTAGTCTTATTATAGAATACTAAAAAATAATTTGGCTTCATCTAAGATAATCAAGTTTAACCTGTATTTCCGACACTATCTACTACCTTTACTCAAATAAAGCATTTTAAAAACACTTAAAATGGTTGGATTTAGCATTGACCTTTATCGACAGATTACCATTAATCTGCACTGGAAAATGACTCCGTTAAAAGTTTTTGCTTTCGCCTCGAAAGCGAACGGAGGAACTTTCTGAAACCCCGCGGCCCGCAATCGCCTTGCATATGTATCAATTAACATTTTGAGTGGGTTTCCATGTTAAACTGTCACTTTTATACGCATCATGCGGCATCCTACCCCACTAAAATCGAAAGCCCTAAACCGAATTCCAATTTCTCCGTCTGACTGTTCCCATTTGTTCTGGAATGGGGCTCACATGATTTGTGCGTGACCATGCGAAATGTAAATTATTTATGTACTGTGCGTCTGTATATGGGGCATTATCCTGCACCAGTATTGAGTTCTGCCTTCTTCTGACAGGCGGCTGGCATCTCCAGATCTCCAGATTCAGAATCCATAGTCTGCGTCTCAGTTTCACAATAGCGCAAAAATAGCCAACTGTTGGAGGAACCCATGTCAGGACATGGGACGGCATTTGATTGGCATTAGCGGCGAGATGGGCGGCAGGCAGTCGTAGGATGGCTTGTGCTGTGTGTCCAGAATAACGAATCAGCGCAAAAAATTAAAGTAAATGGTTAAAACTTACATTCCAGCTATAGTGGATGCCTTAAATTGGAAATGGGCCTGAAATTAGGTCACTGAACCCACATCATGTTTGCTGTAAGCTGACACCTTTTTTGATTACAAAGGAATCGTATATGGCATAAATATAAGTTATGAGTTATAAGCTACTTCAAAGGGAAGAGAAGGAAACATTAAAGGTCCTTGTTACCTTGAAGGCTTTCCTTATATAGCGTATTATTTTATTTGCATTCTACATCCAAAAGAATTTGTAAGGTCCTACAAAAACCTTCCTTATAGATGTGTACTTTAACTTCAAAGGGATTAGAAAGTATGTACATTTGGTTGCCCCTTTTTATTGGTAAAAAGGAATGTTTTAATATTTAATGTATTTCTTATAGAAAAATGCAGTAATGTTATATAATGACTTTGCTGAACGATACATTCTTCTTTCCGTCGACTACTTATATTAGATAATGACCGTAGTGACACACGTGAGTCATGGCAAAGTGGGTGGTTCTGGTTCCATTCCTCCTCCGATACCAATACCATCCTCAACCGTTTCAGGTTACCCGATTTAAGTGGTCGGCAATTTGTGCCGGACATTTTCATCGGGCGGCTCAATTATGAGCGTGATTAGAGCAGGCGACCATGCCATTCGTGCATTATACACCATAATTTCATATTTGTTCCCGAAAATCGTTGGCCAACCCCCCCGCCCGAGTGGCAATTAGACGCTCGCTGAAATCGCTCCGATAAATTATTAGCTGCCAAAACGAGGGCTTTTAAAACTTGCCACCTCTTTCACGTCGGTTTCCAACCAAAGGAAAAAAAGGGAAAAAAGGGGAATGTGTAAAACGGCATCAAATATGCAACACTTTTTCTTGTTCAGCGCCTTGGCAAACAATTGGCCAATTAAGTCGAAAGTTTTCCCGGTGGAAGGAGGAGGGTTCTGAGCCCAGAACACCATTTCTCCTGCCCCCCTCTTCACTCGTCCATTGGCCTCAAACTGATGGCCATTGCATGCCAGGCGGACATTTTGTGGCTAGTTGCGTGCCGCCTTTTAGCCCGCGGTTCGTGGCCAACAAAGGGGCGTAGTAAGAAGGACCAGGGGGGCGGGGCACTGCAACTGTTTACGTGTTTTATGCAGATTGCCACACCGGACTTTTCCACGGTTTACATTTTCGATTTATAGAGCGTCTCTTTGGGGCCCTCTTGAGTGCAATATTTCATTTTTAATTCGGACTCCAGAGGTGTGGATTTGATTTAGTTGGCCAATAAATGGAGGAAGTCATCGATATTTTTTGGAAAAATGGAGGTGAAAGATATGGGGTTAGGGATTTTTTGTAAGAATTGATTTATAATGACCGAAAGTGGATAAAATATATATATCTATCTGGTTGTTTTAAGTGAACTTACCTCTCTTCCAAATTTTTGAATGTTCACTTAAAAAAATCTAAACGAAATTTAATTTTAAAATTCAAGATGTTATTTAAAATTTTCCCTTTGGTTTCTTAAGTTAAAGCCAATAAAAACACAGTGTTATTTCAGTTTCTTTTTTTGGCTTCATGCTTTCATTTATTTTAGTTACTTTCGTTTGTCACGATTTCTTTACTAAATGCCAGGCGAAATTATTGAACGTCTCAGCTAATTAAGTCAATGTAATTACATATTAATTTTTAAATTCATAGTATTATATTGGTTAGTTTTGGTTTTTGCTTCATGGAAGAGAAGAAACTTGTTGGATCACAAAGGTTTTGTTTTCGCTATCGGTTTAAGTATGCCTCAAACGATATCTAACGAAAGGAGTAAACAAAGTACTTGAATTGAGCTAACCACCTTAAAGCTTATTTACATCAAACAACATAACTAACAACTTGTATTCGATTTCGTTGGTTTTAGGCTTAGGTTAGGATAGAATTCCATCTTTGCACATTGGCCTGCAGAGCTCTTCCCAGAAGGAGTTACTACATTCTTTCTTAGATACTTTCATTTAGTTTACGGTAAGGCTGAAGATAGAGTATTAAAATTGTTTATTGTTTAAGAGTAAAAGTTGTTTATAAAATATATTTATCATATATCAAAGTATAGTTATTTAGTTATGTATAGGCGTATATTACAGTTTCCCATTTTTACAGAGCCGCTGACCAGGGAGTCGAGCTTTTATTTGAGCTAATAGTACTTTAACAATACAGAGTGTTTGTTTTTTTGGGGGTTTTTTCATACGGTTGTAACTCGAATAATGCAAACGCTTGATCCACTAAACGAACTAGACTACCATATCCGTATGTGTATACATATTTATTTGATTTGTTGTATATATCATTAGGTATATATATGCTTGTATAATTACTAAATGGTATTTGAGTCAATAGGTCGTTATGTTGTATGTGGGTCTATGTATATATTGCAAATTTTGTTAATCCTCTACATTTTCATATTTTTCGCTTGTGTATATATTTATTTAATTATTCCCGCACGTCTCATTGGTAATTGGTCCTTAGTACACTACATAGAAAGCATTTAAATTTTTTTGTTTTTCAATATTCTTTTTTTTAAGATTTTTTTTTTATCGTTTCTATGGCTTTGACACTGCATCGCACTTATGGCTTCATCTCGGGGGTGTTGGGGGGAACCTATCCTATATGCCCATTTAAAGCAAAACACCTTTATCCTTTTTTCTGTGTATGTGTGTGTGTCAACAGGACACGGGACAGGTGGGCGGGGATAAAAGGGGGAGTGGCAGAGCAGCAGCTGGCCTTTTGCAGACGACAGACGACCTTTCAGGCTAAAAATAATCGCCTTCACACACACACACCCCCCACTTTCTTTTTCCAGGTGTTCTACACAGCGACACCTGTGTGAGTTAATTGTGGACAGGAAAACCTGCGGCTTAGCCAAACATTGGCATGCGTTCTGCAAAGCGTCTAAAAACGCGACGTAAAAAGCTGAAACCGCCAGCGAGGCACATAAAAGTGTCAGGCAGACATAAATTTATGTTGGCTTGCAATTTTGCCCAACACCAGCACACGTCACTGCCTACCTGAAAGTGAAAGGGGGCGTGGCACGGGGCAAATGGAAATGGAAAGGGGTTTATATTTTGTGTGTAGCATACTTTGCGGCCAACGCGGCTTTATTATTAAAATTGCCCTGAAAGTTGGTGGAAACTCTATACCTCTGGGGTCGCTACAGCTACGAACTGTGGAGAAAGTAAACGGATATACACATTTATATTTATAGGAATTTAGCTGGATACAAAGTAGCGATGTGCTCTGGAAACTTGAACAGAGTTTATGCCATAATATAGTGTGGAATATGCGGGTGTTCCAATTAGTTGTCATGTTAAAACAGTTCAGAGGAGTTTCTGGGAATTTTACAGATTAACTTTATAGATGGTGTCTTTCAGCATCTAATTTAAATGAAACATTTATTTAGTTTCTCAGGATTTGTTTCCAGTTACGACTATACCTCGGATTATATTCCAAAACAAAACATAATCCTGGCTTAACTTTGGATAAGCAAACTTCCATAAGGAATTAGTTTTTCTTTTTAAACTCATAATTAGATTTAAGGTTAAATTATGGTTGAAAATAATTGTATCTAGCCAAAATCTGCTTAGACTCGAATGTTTAGAGTGTTTAAGATTGAATTATGGTAGAAAATAATTGTATCTAGGCCAAATCTGTTAGATTAGAATGTTAAGAATACTGTTTTGCATTTAATCGGATGTGCAATTATGACACCCAGTATTATATATATATATTCATATAGTTTCCATGAGATCCACCTCCCTAGGCACATCCTCTACAGGAAGCATCCTGCTCAACCATCAGAATTAAGAGCCACCAGTCTGAATTCGACGGCGTTTGCTAATTAACTGGCGCTCTCGAAAAAGTGTGCCAAACGTCTAATTAAAGATAATCCTTTTTTAGCATACTGCTCTTGGGCTGGGAAATAAACGTAGGGAACGGGGTTAATTGAGATTTCAGCAGAATGTGCGATGCGGTGTCATTTGGCTTTCTTCTGCTCCTCCTTTCTTTTTCTTACATTTTGAGCATTGCTTTTGTCCCATTTTATGTTTAACGTGTATCGCAGCTATTTTTGACCTTTTTCTCATTGTTTTTTTTATCATTTTAATTCACCTTCGCTTAATTAACTAGTTTTTGCTTGGTTTTAGTTTGGATTCTGACTAACGCTACTTTATCCTCACTAATCTCTGTTTTTTCTGCTTTGAAAAGTAGTGTCAATTAAATTGAACAAAAAGTGGTAAATTTATCTAATAAATAGTATTGCGCTACTTACATGCATTTATTCTATTTAATTGGTTTGTTTGATTCATAACTTTTGTTCATTTTCACATTGAAGCCTCTCCATTTTTGTTTAATAACTTTACTTTGGCCATTTGGTAATTTTCTGTTTGCTTTCTGGAAATTCAATTATATCTGCATTTATCGAAAGTTCTTTTTATGCATTTGTTTGGGTCCAGAGCCCGCTTGTTTGTTTCCCTCGTTTCATTTCAAATATTTATCCTGTATTTATTGCTGCATTTTTATTTCGTTTGATTTAATTAAACTGTGTTACTGCAAACGAATTATTTTCTCTGCTGGCCCATCTCTCGGACATTATTCAGTGTTTTTCTGTTGTTTTAGGGCAGTAAACTTTACGATCAAATTTACGAGTAACAAAAACCAAATTAAAAACGTAATTTAATCTAGCCAAACGGAGACTGAATTGTATTCAAATTGAATTTGAATTTAATCTCGAAACGAGTACAGTGCGCCAATTCTCACTTCAATCAATCGTTTTGTCAACAGTTTGGAAATACAGACTCAATTATGAGCTAAGTCCATAAATTCAGTCCCAATTTATGGGTTACTATCCGTCCCCCAAAAACCCTTTCCACCGTGAGCCACTACACATTTTTGGTAAAACTTTCTCTTGGCAAATGATAAAACCGTTCGACTATCAGAAAATGTCATTTAGAATGTTGTCAGGTTTGATTTATGCTGGTCATTTCCGTTCAAACTCAGCTGGTTCCCGTGTAGCATTTTCAATAAAATTGGTTTTTCAATTTTATTTCTGTTTGCTTTTCATTGGAAATGTATGCAAAAGAAATGTATAAATTACAATGGAATACAATAAACGTAAACCAAAATAAGTGAGTGGCCCTGAAAAGTCGACTGTCTAAATACCTGTGCAAATTTAAATTCAGAAATCCTTTTTATTTTGAGCTTAGTTAAGTTGATTTGAGCTGTTTTAACTATTCTTGACTTCTTTTTAACCGTAAAAAATTTACACAACATAGGATTTTAGAATTTTCTTCAAAATAAATGGCTCACCTTACACTGAAAATAAATAGCTGAACAATAAATAAAACAAAAATACTCACAAAAGGTTTGCCGAAATCTAAGGACCCTTTTCGAGGGCATTGAAATGTCACACCTGTTGTCGGAGAAAAGCCGCATGTGTAACTTTTTATTGCCTACCTTTGTGCGTGCTTTCTCTTTATGATGGTGTTCGTGTTCCGTTCTGTCTGTGTGTGTGTGTGAGTTGTGCCTGTGTGCGTTATGTTTTCACAACCATGTTGATTTTGTTCGCTTTGTCCGCATACCTACATACATTTGTTTGTTTATGCTGCTTTTTTTGCACACTTACTTGGCATTTCGCTTTCTTTTTTTTGCTGTGCTTTGCTTATTAATTTTACACAAAATGCCATTTAACTTAGTTGTTCTTGCTGTTTGGCTATTTGAAATGCCATTTAACAGGGTGTACGTTTGTGTGTGTGTGTGTGGGGGTGGTTGGGTGTTAATGATAAATCACATTTAATGCAATTTACAAAATAACATTTCGTTCGCACGTTCCGGTTGAAGTTTGTTGGGTTCCATACTTTTGTTATCAGAATTACGCTGTTTATATTTTATATATTTGCCGTTGCAGATCCCATAACTCATGTTTATTGCTGTTGCATATCGCCGCCATTACCCAGACCTGCTTTCGATTCCGGCGGCACCTGTTTTTAAAAGGTAAAATATTAGCCATTATTTTATCACATCGAATTGAGTGAGTTTCTACATAGTTTGGCAGACAGCGTTAGTGGAAAAAATGGTTAAGGAATATGTTAGACGGATAAAAGGATCACATGAAGTAGAGTTAAGCACAATCAAGGCATAAGCAAACATTTAGTTAAAGCAGCACGTTTGGGAGTGTGTGTGTGTGTGTGTGTGTGATGTGTCTGTGTGCTGTGCGTGTGTGTATAGCCTGCTTTTAAGGAAAACACATCGAGCAACAACAAAAAGTCCCAACAAAATGCACACCCCCTGGCATACAAAACACACACATCCATATGTAGGACAGCCAAAACAATTTGTTTGAATCAAACAAAGGATCAACCGAAATTCAGGGCAAACGCAAAAAAATATATTCAAGGCGAAACTTTCGGAATAATAATGGAAATAGCTCCCAAAACACACAGGAAGATGATAGAACTCATACAGAAAATAAAGAAACCAAAAATAATCCAAAGGGAAGTCCAACCAAAAACTAGAATAAACACAACTAAAGCCGCAAAACTCCACCCATCTCAACAGACCCCCGAAAAAGAGGGCAAAAATTCAACAAACAGCGAACACATACGATTATGACTGGGACAGGGACCGAAAATGAAGTTCGGCTGGTAAGCCACATAAAGCCTTAAGTGTAACAAGTGTAATTCAGACTCAAAGGGTTCAGTATTAAATTAAGAACGAAACTAGGAAAGTTTTTTGGGGGAGAGTGGAGGAAATTATAAGACAAAGCTTATGCAGATGGGATGCAAAAGGCAATCGTTGGAACTGAACTTTATGCTCCAAATTAAATTATAAAATTGAGGAAATTTAATTTTATTGAAAGTAATACACACTTAGATCTGTTTTTTTAAGAAAATAATTTGGAAAATTTGTAACCTTTTTTTTATAAACTGTTAATAAAAATAAAAGAAAAGAGTATAAGAGGCTTATGTATATTTTAAACACCAAACATCAATATCTATATCTTAACTTTTAAAAGATATAAAAAGCAAGTACATAAATTCGGTCCCCATAAGACATTTAAACAGCGAAGAATTGGTAAAAGAGTGAGAGAACCTCCAATTAAAGACAACATTGACAATAACAACGACATTTAACAACTTGAAAACAATGAGAAACCGACGGTGAAATCTGACAACGACGACTGTACCTAGTATCTGAAGGATGTGGGATATGGAATCAAACTTAGCGGCCATAGAAACTATGAAAGTCCAGGAAATCCATGGAATCTGTTTGATTTTGTTGTTGCTGATCGATCTACACGAAGGTGTGGGAACACGACGATAAACCAACCGAAAACGTGAACATAATACAGAAATGGCAATTGTGGTATTATTTTGGCGGTGATTTGGTGGGTTATGTATTTAATTGGAGAGCAGGAGAAATAGAGAGAGTTATATATATATATAATTGTGGTAGGAGAGTGGAATATAATACAAGGTAATCGTTAGAGCATAGTGTTTTCACTTACCAGTTTCTTGAAACAATCCTCAAAGAAGGCGGTCATTGAGCGGTACAAGTGCCGTTTAACCCCCGAAAGGCTGTGGCCCTCGTCAGGATATATCTGTTGCTTATAGAGCACCCCTTTGCTGGTCAGGGTTCTTGCCAAGACCATCGATTGTTGGACATGCACATTATCATCGGCAGTTCCGTGAACCAACAGGAATTGACGGTCTCTCAGATTATCCACATATTTTGAGAGATCACTCTCTTCGTAACCCTTGTAGTTATCCGTAACGTTGGGGAAACTCAGATAGCGCTCGGCATAAGTAGAGTCTAAAGTGATGATGTAATATATTACAGATATTTATTAAGTATATCTTATAAATTGTTTCAAGAAATAAGAATATATTTTCCGATCTAATTTTAACACAAAGTAAATATAAATTCACTTGAAAAACATGTATAAAGTAAAAATACTTTTAAAGGAGTGTGAAAGTATGCAACAAAAAAAAAATGATATCGTTTTTGTGCCAAGATGTGTTGCATACTTTTAGATACTTTGATAGGGGATTTATCAACCCTTCCGACCTAATTTTAAAATAAACTAACTATAAATTCTCTGGAAAACCCTTTATAAGGAAAAAACACTTTAAAAGGGGCTTAAAAGTATGCAACGAAAAATTGATCTAGTTTTTTGGACCAAGAAGTGTTGCATACTTTTAGATACTTTTATAGAGGATTTCTCAACCTTTGTGAATGCCGTTTCGCCTTCAATAACCCTTAAGAAATAAATCAAACTCACCATATAACTTCCAGTTTGTGACTGGGGATACACTGATCCCACACTGGAATATCGACTGCTGTCCGGCCAGCGCCAATGCGGCCGCATATCCTCCGTAACTCCAGCCCCAGACACCCATCCTTCGAGAATCGATGAAGTGCAGGTTGTCCCGGAGGTACTCGCTGACCTCCAGTTGGTCGGAGACCTCGACGCTGCCCAGACGCTTGTAGACCTCGTGGAGCAGCTGATAGCCCTGGCCCGAGGATCCCCGTCCGTCGATCTCCACGACGATGTAGTCCTTGCTGCCGGACAGATAGGTGTTCCAATCGACGTGCCAGCGATCGGTGACCAACTGACTGCCCGGTCCCGAGTAGACATGCAGAATGGTGGGATATCGAGTGATCTCGTCCTCGCGAAGAACCGGCGGCAGGTAGAGCCGGACCTGGGCATGATATCCGCCGGAAATCATCACGGGAAAGGTCTTGATCTGCGGCATGGCCGTCTTGGCCATCTTCTCCTTCAACCGGGTGTTGTTCTGTACGGTGACCAGAAGCTCCAGGAACTGCGACTTGAGCTCTTCCTTTGACCCCCTTTTTTCCCCACCCTCCGTGGGTGGTTCCTCCTGTTGGGTGCTCTGCCGTTTTACCTTGGCGTTTTCCGCAGCGGTGGATTTTAGGCCATAGATTATAGCGGTGGGCACCACTGGTCCCAGGCAATCAACGAGCACGTATTTCGCCTGGCGGGAGATGGGAAACTGTGCCTCGTGGTACAGGCAATCGCTGGGCGGCGGTGGCAGCGGGGCACTCTGACCCCTTCCCGGCGGCTGTTGCTCCACCGGCAGAGCTGGCTGGGGCGGTGGTGCCTCCGCCTCCTCGGAATCCTCCCAGTCATCGTCCCAGGCAGTGACCAACTTGGGCGGCGACTTGGTGTGACCCTCGTCGTAGCCCTCGGCCCACTGCCCCACCGTCGGACACGTCAGACAGTCGGGTGGGTGCAGGGCCTGTCCTTGGCGGGCTGGCAGGGCGGATACGCGATACAGATGCTGCTGCGAGGGAAGGCGCTCAGGAGTTCCCAGGAAGTAGCTGCATACAAAAAATAGAACAAAAAAGTAAACATCTAATCATTGCTGTTACATTAAATTAATTTCTTACTATTATACGAAATATTTTTCTTTAAGTTCTTATGACACATGGTGAACTTCCGATTAAGACATTAGATTTATTTTTAAAAGTCATGTCCAACTAGAAAAAGTAGGTCTATAGCCTAACAACCTCTTGAGAGTTTATAAATTAAAATAGAAATTTAAAACTTACATGTTAAGGTTGCCACGACTTTTTTTTATACCTCCAAGTCAGTCAGTCAATGTCAAAATTTGAATAACAATTTTTAAATTTATAATATTATAATTCCTTGTAAATTTTATATTCAGTTTCTGAAACGTTTAAACAGTTAATACAAAAATTTAATATAAGTTAAATAAGTCATTCTGTAATTTATTTTACGCATTCGCGACTGAAACCATACATACACCAAACATACAATAAATATGGTATTTTCTCTCTCTATATTAAGCACCCATTTAAAACGAATATTTGGTACCGCAATTATTCTTGTCGCAGTTAAAATTAAATGTTAAATTTGTTTAAGCGCTCGTGCGTTTAAATGCATATATAAATTGTGATTATGCGTAACCGCTTTCAGTATTAACCTATCGACCCCTATGCGTATACGTAATATACACATCATTTTCCACTGAACGAACGGAAGTGGGTCCGGTTTCGTGTGTGCGCAATCACTTACATCCAATTATCCACCTGATCCCAGTGCAGCAATCGATTCACCTCGTAGGGTCCATGGGTGAGGGGCAGCACCCGGTTCTTCTCGATGTCCACGTGCACGATGTGCCGGAAATAGCCTGTGATTAAGAGGTATTGGTTGCAGGAGCGAAGGGAAAGGGGAGTGGAAAAGGAAATGGGAAAGAGAAAGCAGGCTTTGTCACTCGGGAAAACAAAGGCCAAAGTGACATCTCAGTGACTTACCAAACAGGCCGTCTCTCAGCGGTGAGATGGCCACATAGATGCTGGCATTGGAGGCAAACAGCGGCACTGCCACTGTGTCCACCCAGCCCCGTCCATCTCCGCTCACCCGGTGGGTCTGTGGGTCAATGGATAGCGAAAGAGGCGGAAAAGGTTCATTAGGAGATTGGCGGTTGGGTTCGGCTGATCCAACCAGTTGGACTCACCTCAATGCACTCGAACGACGGCGCCTTGCACACGCTGACCACCGAGATGTTCTGCGGACGATTGAGCCACACCACCGCGATCTTGGAGTGACTCACCCAACTGGCGCTGCTGAAGTAGTGATCCCTGTGGGAAAAAAAAAAACAAAATATGAAAATAAGTCATCTTGAAAAGATAACATTTGTAGCCCTTAATCGAAATATACATCCCTAGCTAAGCCGTCGGTATAACATTTTTCTTGGTAATGTAATTATTGAATCATACAATTTTTTATCTATTTATATTTACCTATTTTACTATATTCAGATGGATTGAAATATGTCTCTTATACTCCTTAACTTTTTTAAGGTAAACAAATCATATTTCTGTTGAGTCATTGTTTCTTGAAATCGTATATTTGTCCAAATTCAACTTTTAAAACTTTTTTAAATTTTAATAAAAATATAATATAATATATATATAATTATTTAAAAGATTGATATTTTAATATTTGGTAACTTATTAGTTTATTCTGAAGATCTACAGAAAAATGTCTGGATCCCTAGTACTATTAAGGTAAATAAAAACATTAATTCTTTAGCATAGGCCTAAAAATAGATATAATCGAAGGAGCAAAGACTTACTCATTGGCCAAAATTTGTGGAGGTTTCAGGTCTGTGATGCGGAGTTGCTGCGGATCCTTCAGGTAAGCTACTCGTAGGGTTACCGTGGGATTTTGAGTGCCCGGTTTGGGGTAGCTGTAAAAAGACCGGAAACAAAACAGTATGTAGTATAAGTTAAAGCTTTAACCTAAAGGATGAATTAAGCCCTACCAACTCGACATCCTTCTGCTTAAACCGACTTCGGTCACTGACCTTTTCGAGGTCCGTTCTAGCAATTTATCAAATGCAATTGACAGGGGATCAACCTTAATACCTCACAACTTGCTTAGGTAAACCCAAGTGTTATATTGTCTTATGCTCAGAAACTAATTCTAATGCCCAAACTGTCAGCACAAACGAAGAGAAAAGTTGGGAAAGGGATGAGCCAGGGAAAAGGTTGAATCAACCTGTGAAAAGGTTCAGCAACTGTCACTTCATGAATTTTAAGCGTGATGGTAGGAGGCCATTAGAGGGTTTAGGTGGCAGGAGAAAGATGAGGCATCATTAACACATAATCGAAAAGTGATAAAGCCAGAGCTCCATGCCTAATGGGGTCACGACTTACCGTAAGGACCTGATTTCCGGGTACAGGTTGGCATGCGGATTACTACCGCTCGACGAGGCGCCCGCTCCCCCGGATCCCGCTCCTCCACCTGCTCCTCCTGCTCCCGTTGCAGCAGCCGCTGGTCCCCCGGAGGGACCCGTCGTCCCGTACCAGGCAAAGTGTTGCTCCTGGACGTGCGTATCGTTGAAGGTGGCGTACAGCATCAGTTGGCCATTGTCCGACATCCAAATCGCATTATTTGCATGAAGAATCTCCTCTGAGAAATGCGAAACAGAACGGAAAATTGAAATAAATGCCTGTTGAGGGAGATATAATGCAGTCGGTTTGCGAGTAATGCAAATACGGTTGTTCTGAATTTCAGAAATTTCTCTATTTTCATCTTAACTAAAGGTTAAGTGACGGGTCAATTACGGTGTGCCTTACAAAGTAGCCTCGAAAATAAGTATCTATGATTTCAGATTGTGGGCAAACACTTAACAAGACAGGATCTAATTATTTATATTATTATCACCACATCAAAAATTAATATTATTATTATTAATTAAATTTTTAATATTTTTTTTAGGTGTTTGCAAACCTAATCATTTTTAAAATGAGGAGTAACCATATAAATACAAGATCAAAAGTTCTTGATTCAAAACCGTTTGTGTCCTGAATTGTGTCTCCTAAAACTAATAATATTTTAAGTCGAATCCAAAATTTGGTTTATTCAAGAAAAAACCGTTCTTGATTCAAGAACATCTTCTTGAACAATTCTTGATTTAAGACTGTTTGTGTCTTGAATTGTGTCTCTTGAAATTAATAATATTTTAAGTCATATCCGAAATTTCGTCGTTTCAAGAAAAAACCGTTCTTGATTCAAGAACATCTTCTTGATTTTATTCCATTGTGCACTAACACTTCCATTATCACTTAATCGCCCTTCAAATGGTCGATAACTTTCAGCATAATTCCCCAAAATTCCACTCACCTTCGTACAGCCAATCGGGTATGCCGTTGTACGCCACTCCGGGCACCGCGTCCTGGGTAATCCTGTGCACGGCCGGGCTGCGGACCTCCGCCCGGTAATAGATGTCGTAGCTCTCCACCCAGACCAATGCGTTTCCGACGGGCGTGAATCGCGCGTAGTGCAGATAGGGCCATTCATCCTGGGGCGGACTGTGGCGAAGCTTGATGCTCTCGCTGGCGGGGATTACGAAGTTCGGGGTAAAGTGCAACAATACGCGGCATTAAGCTGGGGATCTTACCTGGTCTGGATGTCGTAGAGCGTGTACTGGGCCAAATACGAGTGTCTGAATAATTTCACAACGTTCTGGGCCAAAAGCAGATATCGCTTGTCCGCCGATATGGTAAATGTGAAGGGGGCCAGGGTTTTCTGCGTAGGGACAGAGGGAGTGGTGGTATTAAAAGCCTGCTGCAAATTATGCGGAAAACTGTTGAGAGGAGCCTGCCTGCTACAATGCGAACACGTTGCGTATACGCAATTTTAATTAAAATTTTAATGGTCTTTTCTGATTCGCACGCAGAATTGCGGAAGTTTGGTTGGTGGCGTAACTCGTTGGAAATTTCCGAAATTTGCGGCATTGTTTACGGGGACCTGAATACCCCAAAATTGTTGCCAAAGAGTTGCCGCCTTAATTTGCCTGTAAATTATTCTCTACTCAGCCAACTCCATCAAGAGGCAAGTTGATGTTTTGCATTTAGCTATTCATTGCTCATTTCTTGTTTAAGTTTTGGTTTCAGTTTGAGATGGCGAAGTTACTTTATACCAAAGAGATCCTTAGCCGACTATGAATATGCATATCCATTATGCCATTTCGACTGCTCGACTCGTGTTTCTTTGGATTCGGCTGCACATTAATTATTTCCCACTCAACTGGCAACTGTTGACTTGCAGTGCCAGCTGCACTTGTTGCGTTTTTGGCCCCTCGAGGCACTCGAAAAAGTGTTCGCCTGCCAACTTGGCAAAGGAAAGCTTTCCTTTTTGCCTTTTCTTTCCCTTAACTTTCCCTTATTTGTTTGTTTTTCCATTCCATTCGCGCATTATTCATTAGAAAGCGTTTTACCTCCCTGTGCCTTTGGTTTCCCATGTGTTTACCCACTCATTGACATAAAAATCTTTTTGCCTTTTATCGCTATCGCTGTATGGATTGAGGGTAAAGTCGCCGCACTCGGTTAACGATAACTTGGCCCATTTGTTTCGCCCACTTCTGTGCGCGCCATAATATCAGTTAACATTGCCAAGTCGAGTGTGTACACTTGAGATATCTGCCTAGCCCGCCACGCCCCTTTCTTCCCCACTTTCTTCCCAGCGGCAATACTATACTATCTGGAACAACTCCCTGACAACTCCCCGACTCGTAAATAAGATGGGGTAAATATTTATTCTGCTCAGAGAGATAAGCAATAAGCAAACAAACAGCGCCGTAGTGATGGAAGTCAAAAGGGGGTGGGGAGGGGGATAGAAATCAACGAAATGTACTTACAAATGTCACATTGGACATGAGGACACGTTCCGAGCGATTGGCTGCATTCAGCAGACAGATGCGACCCAAATGGTCCTGGTACAGGAACTCCTCGCCTGCAAAAAATCAAATGAAAGCGGAAATTAAAAGCGATTTGCCCGATGGAACGGTCACTGAGAAGCACTCATCACGTACACCGGAAAAAAGGTTCTTAAAGATAAGATGGGGTAGAAATAAAACTACAGCTAAGTACTATAATATCAAATTGATTCTTAATAGTTAGGTGCTTAAAAGTATGCACATGTGCGTTATTTTTAAACAGCATACTTTGAGGCAAATAATAAAAAAATTCTAAAACATTTTTAAATTTATTTTAATTTAACAAGCCTATTGGTAGATCTAAACCAAGAATTTTAAGGAATATTTTTGTTGTATTTTGGGCCAAACAGTATGCAACATTTAATTTGATTTTTGCGCTCTCTTTTAACAGCATACTTTTGGGCACCTTTTAAAGTCATTTCATTTTTAAAATTTTTTATAAAAAGTAGGTATATATGTTTATTTAAAATTAAACAGGTCTAGTGGGATCTTAAAACTAGGAATTTAAAGGAATATTTTTTTGAGGTGTGGCTCGAGTTTTAAAATCAAGGTGCTTAAAAGTATGCAACATTAGACTGCGTTCTTTTTACAGCATACTTTTAGGCATCTTATAAAGCCATTTTTATTTTTTTTGTATCTTGGGATTATCAAAGAGTGTCTATATTTTTTAGGTGTATCACTCACCATCGATCCAGCTGCCGTTTGAGTGCTGCGGCACAAAGAGGCCATCTACGATGTCCTGCAGCTTGATGCGCTGCCCTTTGACCCGCGGGCCCTCATCGGGGGGCGTGAGCAGCACCTTTTTTGATAAATGTAGAAATTTTATATGTTGTCTTCTGCACACTCACACAGACAGTTAGACAGACAGACAGACAGGCAGGCAGGCACACGTGAATAACACACACACAACATCAACATCAACATCAAGAGCAACAACGAATGGAAAGTAAAATGGTCGGTGTTGTGGGAGGTGGTAAATTTATCAGGCAGCCACAAATTCGCAAAAAAGTAAACAAACAGACAAAAGACAAAAATGAGCGTAACGTATTTACACAAAAATTTATCACATTGGTTTTGTATATATACATAGGTACATACATATAAATATATATAAACATAAATATTAATGGGAGTTTGAGTTTTCTTTTTACTTTGGCACCGAATGTTTGCTGAAATATTTACGGAAACAGCCAAAAAGCAGGCCACAAATATTTTGATGTTGAACGACTGAATTTCGCCAATTAAAAGAGAAAACTTTCACCATCCAATTAGGAGTTAGAACTTGTTTTTTTCTGTGTGGTGATTTTGAAGTGAACAGAGTACCATTTTACATCTAAACAGAACTATTTGGCATTGTGGTTTCCAGGCTTAGAAAAGATAGACATTTATTTTCTTGCCAAATGGCAATTTTTATACTCTCTTTAATTGAAAATAACATATAAAAAATTCTATAAATTTACAAAATTACGTTAAAATTGAATTTGATTTAAGACCACACCCCTTAAAGGTTTTATTAATAGTACCTATAGTAATTTTTATAAGAGTATTTCACTTTCGGTCTTGGAAACTTATTATCTCTTTCTGTTTAGATCGTATTTTTACTGTTTTTGTGTGGGTTAGCCTCATGTGCTTTTGTTTTGACAGTATTTTGGTTATTGCTTTGGGCATGTTTTCCAAAACAAATTTAATTGCATGGTGCGTTTGCTGAATCAATTTGGGGAATTCGGGTTGGCCAATTGGCAATTGATGTTTGTCAATGGGGCTGGCCACCCTGGCTTTGAATCTAACTTAATTGCCAATAAATTCATTTGTAACACCGATTTCCACAATTGTATCAATAGGTTGCCCAAATACACCACCCGGGACAATAACCAAACATCGTGCTGTACTATTTTGGGCAGGCCTTTGGGCCAAGTATTGACTCAAACTCACCACCGAAGTTACAATCAGGGCCAGGACAATGATGATGACCAGTAGCGCGATGAGGATCCCGCGCCAATTCCTTTGGTTGGGATTGCTGGAGACCAACTGTGGAGAATCACAAGAGAATAATTAGAAAGTCCTGTGAATCATTAGGAAAATTAATTGCAAAACGATGGAATGCAAATGCTGCCCATAAAGAGCACGTGCGGCTCATTACCCCCAAAAAGTTATGATAATAAACTGGCCAGAACCGCAAATAATCGGTTGGCCAAGATGCAATTAGTAAAACTGATGATTCAGTATTCCTCCTCATAAACGTTTCTCCATCTTTATTAATGTCTACCCTTAAACAAGCATGTAGAACAAACAGGCCCAGCCAAAACCCTTTGGAAATCAACGCTTAATGCATATTTAATGTTGTCGGGCAACAAAGGAGAACAGAAACCCAAATTAAACACGACAAAAACTAAACTCACGCAGCCCGTACAAGTTGATACCGATTTTGATGGGGATTTGGGGCTTCTGTCTGGGGAACTTTGCCCTATATCGCCCTAGTCAGTCCTTATATATATATGGGCGACATGCACATATACAACGCCGCTTAGCCGAATAATTAATTAAGGGCTCATAAAACTATGCTGTTCTGTTAGATAATAAAGAAATGGCAATGTATTAATCAAGAGTTGCGTGCCAAAATGCTTGGGGTTATCAAATTAATTCCGGGGACAGGGTTATATTTATATCATTCAAGCTAAAATTTCCCTATTAAAATACTTGTCATTTCTTATAAATTAAATATCTGTATATATGGGAATTTTATTTAAGTAGGGGAGATCTGTTTTGGTTTACAAACCAACCAAGAACATAAGACAAAAGTCCACAACTAATCGATTTTGCCACAAAATGTGTTTACCATCATTCGCCAAAACTGTGGGAAAGAGAGGTAGTGCTCAATTAAAATCGCATAAATATAGTATGTGCAAAGCAAAAGCTTCCCTTTTGCCCATTAAGCGCGATTCTTAATTAATAACACAGCTCACACACAAATGGGGGACAAATTGCGAGTGAACATGTGTACCTGAGCACACGCATCCCTAAACCAGCATGTTTATTTATAAGGGATCCCCCATACAACCCCTATAAACAACCATTTTGGAAATCGCAGCCTGAATTTATTACGTACCCCGCAGTTACGCCGCAAACAAAGTGAAAACAGCGTAAACTGAACTATCAAAGAACAATAGAGACCTCAAGCTCTGCGAACTTTCTGGTAACTTTACTTTGCCGCTCGGTTGCTTGAAAATATTTTCGTGGCAACAATCATAATAATAATGATTTCTTAAGGGCACACGCGGCGTATACTTCATACTTGTCTTAATTGAATTGAATTTATTTTCGTCAGGAGGGTCAAGTAATAGAGTCCTCAGGACAGGAGATCTCCAAAACACTCAGCTTGATTGCCGAGATGGAAAATACTTTCTTGCACACAAGCTCAAGTAAGTATGCAAAAATAAGGCCATAAATGAAATTTAAACACTCAACTTGATGAGTTGCCTGTTAACGCTAAAGGAATTAAAAATAATGACAGTCATCAATTTGAACAAAGAGCGTCGCTGCCGCAAAATTCAATGAGTTTACTTCTGACGTTCTGGTTTAATGGAGGGATTTTCAGGATGCCAGGGAATTTGCAGAGCACATGAGCAGCGCCTCCTATTCATTTCAATAAATTTTTAATGCCCTGCTTTTAGGCTGGAAAATATTATTTCTAGACAGAGTAATTTTACAAAAGAGAAAATTAGTTGCCTGTAAATCCAGCTGGCAAGGCAGTAAAGACCGCATAAAGTGGTTGCGAAAATTATACAACAGTCTGTGTTTTTGAATATTTTATAGCGGGTTTTGTAAAGCAGATATTAAATAATTCACTTTAATTAAGATAATATTATATCAGTTATATTTTTACCTTTTTTAGAACCAATATTTAGTGCCAGTTTCCAGAATCTATCCCTTTCAAGTAATTAAAACGAGTAGGCACGATAAATAAATACATACAAATCAATAAATTCGATTTTCAGATTCCCAGCGATCTCAGTTTCCCCGAGCAGCAATAAATAAAAGCGAAGGCCGTAAGTTTTATGGGCTGTTTTCCTGGCATTGTAAACTTTGCGGCCCGAATCGGAAAATATTGTAACCAAAATTGCACACAATGCGACACTCGATATATGAAAATGAAATGCACGAACGGAAATCGTAATGAAAACGGATAGCGATTAAAGTGCTGAAGGAAACAGAAAAAAAACGTAAACCCAGATTGTGAAAAAAGTAAACCTCTTTTACCATTTAATGATGTTTGTTCGTGGGCTTTTCTCGTATTTTTTCCACCGCTCTATATTTATGCTGACTTTTGATTATCGTGGGATTCTGGATCAACATTGTTATCATTTCATTTTCACTGTGTCCGCAAAAAGAGGAAACCCGTATTTCCCATTGGGAAAATGTAGAAACTGATTAAATTCTCGGTTACCTGAGATTGAAGCCACCCGAAAACCGGAACTGCTAAAGTATTCTTTTTCAGGCATCGTTCGGAGTTTAAATTTAATCCATTGGGGGTGGTGTGGCTGGAAACTTTACCCCGACCAAGCTTAAAAGCAGGGAATAACCAAATTAAGTCCTGCTCTCTGTGCCCCTCCCTCACCTGCTTTCACCACCACCACTTTCACTTTCGCTTTCTCTGAGCTGGCCAGGGGGCAGAGATAATGCGAATGGGCGACGGGACTCATGGCACCCACATACACCCACAATCCCAAGTAGAGCATTAGCTGCCTTTTGCGGTTGAGCTGGGCAAACTTTGGTTGCTTCTCGAGTGCAGAAAGTTGAAAGAGCCAGCTGGTTAAGGGGGGTTTCGAAGGGGGTTTTCAAGGGGGGTTTGGCGAGGTGGTAGCTGAGTCCTGGAGAGCCGCCAGTTATTTGCATAAGTTGTCATAGTTATTAAGCTCTGAGCGTTAAAATTCTTTCCTGCATACTTTTAAGCGCATTAAAAATAGATGCCATTTATAGTATTTGTGGAACCAAAGGGTAAAAGTGGGAGGGGGGGTGCAGGGGCAGGGGCGTGGCAATATCCCGCTGGCAGTGAAAGTGTCGTTTTCAATTAACTTTCGAGTTGGCTCAGCAGCGCTGGAGATGGCCCAGTTAATCGCATTAAGAACCATCTGTTTGGCACACAAAAAGAAGGTCACTATGGTCTTTGAGTTCGGGGCTTAAGGATTTTTCACCTTGAAATTAGTTTTCTTATGATGAACATTGAAAATATGTCTATTAAAGTGTGCCTATACTGTACTATACTTTAATTTCATGATCTGATTCAAAATAATCATACGTCACAGATAGGTCATTAAGATTTGTTAAAAAAATCTATGCCGAATCCTATATGGGGCTTAAAGCATACGTTATTAAAAGTAACCCAAAGTATAATACATCTAACTTTTATTAACTGATATATAGACATGTAGGTTATTCATAATTCTGAAGTTTGCAATATTTCAATAAAACCTAATCAGGATATTGGTACTGCAGTTCAGGGTTCAAAACCCATGGTATGAAAAATTCCGAAAAATAGTTCCTGTGAGTTTAGCGACCTGCTCTCTTAAAAGCTTTGTTTATTTTACGGGAAATGTTTTGTTAAATTTTTATAGATTATAAAGAGTATATGGATTTATCGCGTGAGACCCGCGATGCCGTTTACAGGACCAAGGATCACCTGAGGCAGTAATGCCCTTCTCATCGGGGGGTCGACATTAGTAGGCAATCTTTATGACCTGCTACCTTCCTGCCAAACATGAAATCCATAAGCAGTCCTTCGGCGATTGTGTAAGGAATGCGGCAATATAGAAGTGCATCCTTGCACGCTACTTGCATTAGGCCCTTGCGAGTGTGTTGGTGAGGCCCTTAAGTGTGTGCGTGTGTGTGTTCTGTCTGTGTCTGGCTTTCCGGCATGCCAGCCCCATTGTCTACCTGTTATTCCTGCCCGGCCACGCCCCCCTTTCCACTGGGCTTTCTCTGTTGTCAACAGCAGTTTAGCTCAAGGCCATAACGGCCCAGCATTTGCTATAACTGTCACGTGGGTGTAGGTTCCTCTCTGTCCGTGTGTGTGTGAGCGGGTTTTCCTCTATGTCAACACATACTTGAGCTTCCATTACACGGCCATGATTGCTTATTTTTCTGTTTTCAGCTTCTCCCTTTCTCCTGCAGGTGTCGCGCCTGTCGGCGGTCGTTAAGTTACCTGAATTTGTCAAAATAAAATGTAATATGCCAGCGCTGACACAATTGAATGCGATGTGCAGTGGCTGACTTTGTGTGTCAGTGCAAACAAGAATGATTACTTTGTATCACATCTCCCAGGAGCTGTATTTTTATGATTTTAAGGTTGGACAAACATTATGTGATGAGTCGAAATGGTGCAGAAATTGTGTTTATTTGACTCGCAGTTAAAAAACAAAAAGGTTTTAGTTTTTATACACGTTACTCGTAAATCAAAAGGGTATATCAGTTTCGTCGGTAAGTATGTAACAGGTAGAAGCAACGTGTCCGATCCCAAAAAGTATATATATTGTTGATCAGGATCACTATCCAATCCGATCTAGCCATGTGTGTTTGCTTGTCTGTTTATCCATAAGGAGGCTGAGATCTCGGAAACTATAAAAGCTACAAAGTTCAGATAAAACCTGTCTAGCGACCACAGAATTTGTAAAAGTGTAAATGCAATTTTGTTTTGATTATCAATATCTATCTGCATCCCAAAAAATTTTTTAATCGGACCATCCATTAAAGAGTTATAAGCATTTAAAGGAATCTTTGCTAGGTGGCGCTGTTGCGGGGTGTGTAATATTGGGAACAATCGCTTTGCTGCTTATATATTTACATCTCACTTGCTCTTAGATGCGTAACGGGTTTTTGACAGTCGACTTTAGCTATATCTCTGGTTTTACAGACACAGGCACTCATGATTAGTATTTTTATAACGAAAGGACCTTATTATTATGTCTCTTGACGTATCCAATCAACAGTTGTAAATTTGAACCATATATCTCTGTTGGATGATTTTATTCGACACTTTTTTCCGTGCCCAATCGAGTGGCATGCCTCTTCCACAACAACACCCTTCAGCGGGCATTAGCATAGTCAAAACAGTTAATATGAACATGAAATTCCACTGTCAAACTCAATTGATCCCATAATAGATGAGCAAAACTTAACGCTGCCAAAAACCAAATCGTCAGTGGGTGGAAATCGGAGTGGAAATTCCGGCTAATTGATTTCCGCTCGAATGGCTGATTGCCATTTCGACTGGCTGTTTATCTTTGCAGCCGTTTGACACTCCCACTTGGCATGGAAAATCCCATCCCCATCACCCCCCCTCCCCAGACAACTTAGTATGCAGAGCACATACAGTCACGGACATGCGGTGCATGGCTAATTCAATTTTGCAATTGTAGTCGCCACTGTCGGCGATTTGCATTTGAATAACATGCGGAATTTATTTCAATTAGCATCGCAGAACCGCCGAGTTGATTCCACGGCGCCGCAAAGAATGCAGCCAAGCGGGAAAAGCTGACCATCAAAGTCAGCGGAAAGGGCGGAAAAGCGGTGGAGGATGAGCAGGATGAGGAAGATGGAAATTCAAGTTTCCCGGCAACGACTCAACGACTCGTTGAGTGAACTTTTCCGCCATCCCCAAGTACTTCCACAAGGCGAAATCAGAGTGAGTCGCGACTGAAGTGGCGATGTAAGAGCTTAGTCAGCTTGTCGGCCAAAGGGAGCTAATAATAAGTCCAATCGCGGAAGGTAATCTCTGGGCAAACCAATCAGAGACTTCCCAAAGTGTCACTGGATGGTGGCCATTCGTTTTTACCATCTCATCTGAAACTCAGTTTAAGTATTTAAGTTGAGCAAAATTATGGAAAGCCCCGACTTAAAACTTTTTGTAAATCCTTGGGGTAAACATCCTAAAAATAATTGTTGCCCCCATCTTTTACATTACTTGGAATATTTTTAGCCTTAAATATCAAAAAATTCTTGGCTCTTAGTATAACTTTAAAAAAGCCATGTCTATTAAATGAGTTTTAGGGGAAAAAAATTGCACAATTTTGTATAATGCTAAAAATATTAAAGTACTCAATTTGTTTATACTACAACAATTATTTATGATACTAATGTATTTACTACCTTTCTATAATGAATTTACATAACAAAATATTTAAAAATTGAATGATTTTAAAAAAGAAATCACTAGGCTCTGAAAAATCCTTCAGCGACATTTAATATTAACTCCTTAAAAAATATACATTATACGTAATAACAATAGTTCCCCGAAAAGCCAAAGCTTATAAATATGTAAATAAAATTCCAGAACAATAACCCTTGCATTCTGCTTACGCCAGCTAGTCCCACTTTCCAATACCAACATTATGCCGGCGCTTTTCAATTTTCCCAGCCATTAAACAATTTAAATTTGTAATGCCACCAACCAGCTTGGGTTTCCTTGGATTGGTAATCCCTGGAATTCAGGAAGTAAGAAACGGATTTGGGTAACCCGGCACGCGCACACACGTTTTTGGGTAATATTTGTTTTTAAAATTAATTATGCCTAATTATATTTGGGCTCAAAACATATTCGTTTTTCCCGTCGGTTGTACAACAAAAGAAATTACCTCATCATCGTAATTATCCTGCTCAGGCATGACTCGGTGCTTGTGGGCTTAAGGCGATGGATTTAGCGGAAGTCCGATGGGTGGATGGGTGCTGGATGGTTGACAAATTAAAGAAGCCGCCGGCTGTTATCTCTGCGTTGTTTCTTCGCTGGCTTTATGCTTTTTATATTGCTAATCGAATCTATTAATTTTTTCCGGCAATTTTATTTGCAAGCTCTTCCAATTTGTCTAATTCTGTGAAATCAAAATCAAAATCAGCTCGCTGAGGCAGCTGGCTTCTTGTGGGGCTCTAGATAACTGGAGTTGCTTCCTTGGGCCATGCTATCGTAAATGATTTTTCAGCTCGTCCTTGACTTTTGCCAGATGTCCTTCGGCCCATCAGGCACCCCTCGCAAAATTGTTGTTGTATTGTTGTAGTTGTTGCTAATTATGAATGGCCGTTGTTTTTGGTCTTCGACGCTTGACTTAGGAACTTTTCGCAACGGTCCTTGCAATGCGCTTTTGCTGTCCTTACTAATGAGCATACATTTTCAATTTTCCCAGCTGCAGTCGGTCTCAGGACTCAGTTTTCCTTTTTTCCCTCGTTGGTGTAGTCGTTGGTGTGACACTAATGATGCAGCATACTTTTAGGCCAAGCGCTAAATTGGAATAGAGTGGGTTTCGGGATGGGAAGAAAAAACACACACAATATATTTTAAAATGCAGTTCTTGCTTAAATATTTTCTTGTTGCTTTGGTGTTTTGTTGTTCATCATCTTTGTGTGTTGTTTAGCTGTAGTTGTTGTTAGTGCCAATTTGTTGTGTTGTGCTTTTAGCCTTGCAAGCATGTGTGTGTAAGTTAGTGGGGGGGTGCTTATGTAACATGACACATGTTCCTTGCTGCCGGGTTGCATACTTTTTGGGACTGCTTGTGTTTTTGTGCTCATGAATGTGTTTTGCTTGGCTTCACTGGCATTTGGATGTGGGTTAAGTAGTCTAGTGTTTAAATATTTACATAAACAAAGGCCACCGCCCAAAAGCAGGCAATGTAAGTTCTAATTACTTGTTAGATGGCAACACTGCAGGGTTGCCTTTGTTTCCATTTCATGCAGTTGTGTAGTTGTGGGTGTTGAACATGCAGCAGGTAGGGTTGCCCCCCAAAAAACTAATCTGTTTACTATGCAAAATGTTGCATGCGATGGAAAATGGGGGGCGCGGATTCAACACTTTAAACATGACTAGGTTGTTATATGCAAATTTAACCCATGGGGCGGATGGGGGGTGTTAATAGCATTACATTTTCAATTTAAGTTATGGCAAGTTTTTACTTCGCCCTTTTCCCTTTTTTCTTGATGCTCCGCCTAAGCAGCTTATTATGCAAAATGCTTGCACAGTAAACGATGGCTAAAATACATATAGGGGGATATTCACAGTTGGTTGGAGGTAGTATTATAATACGGCTTATTGATTCGTGGCATTAATGGAGAATTAAGTGGATAGAGGGAGTAAGTGAAAATAAATAAGAAGAGTTCGAAGATTAGTCATAAATGAACTTAAATTTAAAAGTAATCGTTGAATTTAAGTTTTTATGTTATCTGAATAACGATTTCCTTTAAGCTTTGCCGCTGCAACTCCTCCACAACAATGACTTAACAACTTGTAGAGCCCCTAGAGGATCCAGCACATGTTATCCCCATAATCCGAAGGCTAACAAAGCTATTTTCTATATCTATACTATACTATAATTACCCAGAATGTCAGCTTTATAGCCCCATGGCCTGAGGAAGACAAATGACACCACTCTACACCCAAATGGAACCACAAAACACCGCTCTGCCCTGGCTGCCTCCTCTGGAAATCGTTAGAACTTGGCCCCCAGAGAAGCTTCGGCTTAAATAGCCAATGACACACAAATAATCCACAATAGATCCCCAGAAAGGAGGTGGTGGTGGAGGCAAAAGAGTGTTTATCATTCGCCTGAGTCATCTTTAGGGAGCTTTCACTGTGCACTCTTCCTTGGAACGCATTACAATGCATAAACTTTCGGTCATTGTGCGGTTTCTGCTCGACTTTCACCTTAGCCGACGGCCAGAACTATAAATTAAAATAAAATGTGTATAAAAGAATACACAATCCTTGTTCTAAACGTCAGTTCTGGAAACAATGGATATTTTTGATATACGAGTAGTAGCCAGCATAAATATCATTAATTTTTTGGTAACCAAATTGTTTGGAGCTCTTCCCGTGTTTTGTCCTGTATTGTTTTGCTGTATTTCTGGCTCGGTTAGCCCAGTCAAGCGCGAATTATATTGTTTTCATAAAAATGGTTTTCACTTTTTTCCCCCGAACAATGTGGCATTGAAAAATTCCTTAAATTCCTTCACACAGGCGGTGTTTTATGTGCCTTTTTTAAATTTGGTTAATAACATTTTAAGAGTAAACATGTTGGTAATTGTTTGTTATGTACAATATTGTACAATATTGTAAGCATTCGATCTGCATTTAAAATACGAGGAGGAATAAAAATTGCATGGCTTAATAGTTGGAATTAAATTTAGTATGCAACCTTTTATGGAAAATGCTCTGTGTGTGTGAAAAATTTACATCCACTCCCTTACGGTTTCTATTTTTCATTTTGATATTTTTTACAAAAAGTTTATTTTAGCTTTCTCTGCAAACTTGAATTCATGTATTTTGTTATCAACATGTTGACATTCGTTCGAGTGGGGGAATCGGAATGGAAATGGAATATGAATTCCACAGCCCCTCCGACTTTTTATTGTTCTATCTCGCTCTCCGCCCAACTTCCGGCAGAATGCAACCGTGCGTAAGTCGCTTCCGGTTGAAGGCCGAGTGCCCGTACCCGCCTCATAAAGTGCTATGCCAACACACTCGAATGTATATATCTCTTCAGTCGTATATCATGCTCATGGCATTTTGCGAAAATTTTAAATTTATTGCTTCAATGAAGCGGCAAAACCTCGTACACCAAATCTACATTTGTGCAATATGAATTGTTGATTATTTTAAAAGAAGCCCACTGCTCAAAATGTCTGAAATGTTGCCCACATACGGTAACGGTTGCCAGGGAAAATCAATTGCAGCTGCTGGGAAACGTGTTGCAGGCGGGCAATTTGAGAGGACACTTTTGTGGCTTTTGCCGTCGCTGCTACGTGCCACTTATCGGTCGGACCGCGTCCCATGTTGCACGTATATAACCGTATACGTATACGTATACGTAAACCGTAAACGTTTTTAGGGGCTTTGCGGCCGGGCTGTCTGACTCTTGGCTGCTTTACTACGACAGCCATAATGTTTCATTAGTGGTCGGTTCAGTGCTCCTTCACAGAAAATATATGGTTATTGGAGGGGCGGATTGCAGGGAGACCAATCATGTGCCCCTTAAAAAGAGGTCCTTTAATCGAAAATTTGATTATTTAACTCCTGGTTATAGTAGGGTTTACCAAGGCATTACCCTTAATCAAATTTTGATAGAGGTATAAATTTAACTTAGTTTAAATTGCTCTTAAGATCCATGGAAAATGGAATCCATAAGTTATTGTAATTATAAACTTTCATAACATCCTTTGGGAAATGTTCAACAACACTTTATTAATACAGCAAATATATAGTTGTTGGATGGGGGGATTGCATGGACTCCAATCATGTGCCTCTTAAAAGGGTCCTTTAATCATAACGTAGATCATTTAACCCCTGGTTATAGTTGGGTTTACCGAAGCATTAACCGCAATCGAATTTTGTGAGCTATAAATTTAACTTAGTTTAAATTGCTTTTGAAATCCATGGAAAAGGGAATCCATTAGTTATTGTAATTAGAAACTTTCATAACATCCATTGGGAAATGTTCAACAGCACTTTAACAACACTGCATATATATAGTTGTTGGAGCGGGGAATTGCAGGGAGTCCAATCATGTGCCTCTTGAGAAGATCCTTCAATCGAAACTTTGATTTCTTAACCCCTGGTTATAGTTCGGTTTAGCGAAGCATTACCCGCAATCAAATTTTGAGAGGGCTATAAATTAAACATTGATTAAAATGCTCTTAAAATCCATGGAAAAGGAAATCCATAATTTTTTCTAATTATAAACATTCATAGCATTCATTTGAAAATGTTCAACAACACTTTGACAACAATTTAATGCAAGGGTCATATCATGTGCGCCTAAAAGATGGTCCCTCAAATAAATGTCCAGTTCCTTAACCCCGGGTTAAAGTTGGGACTAGCGAAAAATATACCGCATCCACTGCGAATTGTTAAGCAACAAAATCGCCAAATTTAAACAATAAAGTATTATATTGGTTTTTTCGACCTTATGTTAAAGTAAAAGTAGATTTAAAAATTCCTAAAATATATAAACTTAAGATGTCTTACAAAGCAGCAATTGCATTGGCAAATAATCAAATTGACCATCTAGTTGCGTCAAACTGTACACCATAATTTTTCTTAACGATCCCCTTTTGCCCGCCCATTAACAGCTTGGAACTGCCTCCCACTTGAACAACAAAATATTGCGTAGCATAAAATTAGGCTGTCACCATTAAACGGGGCAGAAAGAACCACCCCTGGGGGGTGGGAAATGGCAAGGCCATCTCTTTCAACCCTTCGGTGACTATGGCGACTGGGCTTGCACATTAGTTTTAATGCATGTTTCATGCGCCATTAGGCTTAATTAGTGGCATTCGCAGCCCCCACGGAGCTCAACTTAAATGGCTTTCGATGTACACAGTTGCAGAGGTCAAGGGTTGGCATGGGGGTCGGATTTCGACCGGATGGCGACTGACTGACATGCAATTTTATTGTTGTCGCACCGCGTTGCACGAATTTGCACACAGTGAGCTCTTAACTCCGCTCCTGTATCAACATTAAACCCAGCGGTGGCCGGCATTCATCAGTCGTTCATTTATTTTAAGCCCCACGCCCCCCCCCCCCCCACACACACACACAGGCGGAAGAAAATTAAGATTTAATTAAGAAAAATAATAAATGCCGTTGGCCATGGTGCAAGCCAGTCAGAGCCCGGGCTTAAAGCAGGAGCAAACAAATTGTCTCTTATGGCACGGCCTGAGCCTTTTGGCCTTGGCGGCAACCAGAGATTTCCATCTCGACAGCTGCCATTTAAAATTGTCTTATACGATGTGTTGGCAACAATGCCGAATGCCAAATTTAGATGCTTTGCCTCTGGCTAACAGCAGTTGATTTGTCCCGAGATTGCAGTGCTTTTTGGGCAGTGATGCGGCTGAGGCAGGAAACTTTAAGTTTGGGTACTTGTAGCTCAAGAAGGTTAGGGGTCGCACAAAGGAATCTATATTAAGGGTGCCATAGAAACCCACTGAATTTGGATAGAGGTATTTAAAGAGAACTCAAAAGATGCTATTCAAAAGAGCTTCTTGGTGAAAGGGTACATTTAAATATTCCGACCCTTATAGGCCTCTTTACAGTTCAAATATTGTAATGAGAAATTTTATTACTGTCGAATTCGGTATTCCTTTAATTGTAAAATGTGCAAATCGCTATGGTTTCAAAATCAGTTTTATATAACTAAAGGTGTCTAAAAGTATGCAGTGAAAAGGGATACTTGGCTTTCAGAGTATGCTTCTGGGCCTAAAATACACATATTTTTTCACTTCATACTTTTA